ACCAACCGGCTGTCTCCACTTTTCTTTCTCAGTCCGACGCTGAAATGAAGAAGAGGAGAGAGTTTGATTTTGGGCTTGAGTTTTAACCTGGGCTTTCCTTGGATCTGGGTCATTAAGAACAGAAACAGAAACTGAGTTTGGTCTTCTAATAACCCGTCTTTTAGTATGGGCTAACTTAGGCCCGAAATCAGGTTTGAGCCTTAATGCTTTAGTTTGCCCATAACCCCTTCGGCCCAAATCAACTTTAGGCCAATCTGTGTGGCCCATCCCATTTTCCTCACCAACCCTTGTAGATAAGGATAGTGTGGAATCTGGAAATGAAACTCTATGAGCACCACGTGCAGAGTAATTATTATCAGCTGTGACGCGCGTAACCGGAGCGTGTCGTTGACTTGATCTTCCTCGTACCCATCCTTTCTCCGGCATATGAGTAGGCCTTTCGCCGCCTTCGATACTCTCTGTTGAGGGAACCAACGCCGGCGCAATTTCTTCCCAAATCGCCACCTTGTAGCAGAAAGTATCATCATTAATAAACACAAATTGCGGACAAGTCGATCCTATCTTCACTGTAATACGAACGCTCTCGGCATCCCTGGTTTCATCGGCAACAGCTCCCACAAATCCGCCGCATAACTCCCCTACTTCAACAAATAGGGCATGACACCATAGATGAAGGGGGAGCCCAAACATCCGGATCTGTTTGAGTCCTTTTTCTCTAAGGACGCCACAACATCCAACCCTAAAAGGCCACACATCGATCCGTAAAGTTGCAGATCCCCAGTGACGTCGTCCTTCCTTTAACTTGCGTTGGGCTTCGGCCTGAGAAGGAAACCTGAAAAGAAGCATCGAATCAGATAATGGAGTAACCCCCACACCACAGGACGTATTCCATGCTTTCGCTGCCCATTCCTCCACACGATCACAGCCCCCAACTTCCTTATCAAAACGACCAACCAAGCAAGATGAGAGTACTGATTTCCTCCCTCCGACGGACTTCCCGTCGATATACATAGACGGTCCTCGATGCGGAACAGCCGACTTCACATCCCCAGCTAATGAGATTCTTGGAATCCTTGCAGTTTCTAAGTAAGATTTCATCGCGGAAAAAACAAAAAAGAAGAAAGAAAAAAAACAAAGTCTCAATCGCGGTAAAAATCGCCCTTAGTGGGGTGAAATCGCCCATAGTGACGTCATTGCGCCCTTAGTAGAAAGCTAAGTCATAAGTTATTTAGTGCCTTTTGGAGGGCATAGGTAGGGCTGCAAATGAGCCGAGCCGTGTTCTGGGGTGCTTGGGCTTGGTTTGTCACAGTAAGGGATGCTCGAGCTCGATCAAGCTTTGCCTATCTATGATTGAGCTTGGCTTGGCCAGTGCCCGAGCTGAACTTAGCTTAGTTGCTCTTTTATATACACACATAATACACACACACACACACACACACACACACACACACACACACCCACCCATATATGAATCTGTGTATACATATGCACGCATCTTCCTTGTTTGATCTCTAAATCCCACTGCTGATTTTGATATGCGTATATGAACTTCTGTATTTATACCCATTGATCTTCCGTGTTTGATCTCCAAATCCCACCCTCAATTTCGATCATTATGCCAATATCAAGAGGATACTTCTCTACTATCACAAAGAGAGAGACAGAGAGAGGAGAGAGAAAAATAACACTAACCTGAGCTATTTGCAGAGGTGCGGTTGCTATAATTGTCGGTCGCTTGAAGGGTTGGGATTTGGTTTGTGGCAGAATGTAGAGAAGAGAGAATAATGTTTAGGGTTTAGAAGGGATGGCAGGAAATGGGCTTGGGAATGAATGGATTTGGTTAGTTTTATTTTTAAAAGAGATAAATGATATCAAACTGGGTTGGGCTGGGTTGTAAGGCTAGTTTTACTTTCAAAAGAAAAAATAATATAACAAATGGGTTGGTTTAGATGTCAGGCTTGGGTTTAAAATAAGTTCAAATGGTTGAAATACCTATTATAACATAAATATATAAGAAAATGTATATATGTGTGTATTTACGAGCTCAAAACGAGCCTGGAGTCGAGTTTGTTCACAAGCATGTTTACGAACTAACGAGCCGTGTAGAGGGATGTTTGAGTTCGGCTCCTTTGATAATTGAGCTCAACAATTTTTTTTGAGTCGGTTCGTTTAATAAATAAATGAACACGAACAGAGCTCAACTCGAGCTGAGCCTGAGTAGCTCGTGAACGGCTCGGCTCGTTTACAGCCCTAGGCATAGGGCATCCTCGGGGAGCTTTATCTCCTTTTGCGACCGCACCTGTAAATCTCATTAAGGAGAAAGATCATTAGCTTCAAGATATATAATAAAGGATCCTTTGGCCGCAGGGCAGCATAAGGTTTGCGTTCGGGGGAAACCTTTTATAACAAATAAATACATAAATAAAAAGGTAAATTGCACAGACCTCCCCTATGGCTTGCCATAATTACTTGACCTCCCTTGTAGTATGGGAATTTACTTGGATCTCCCCTAAAAATGAAACTATCCTACAGTTACCTTCCTTTTGTGTGACGGGCCTTCAAATCCACTACTGGACCTGTCGAATTTATTGAAATGCCCTCACGTTGCTACCTGAAATTACTAAAATACCTATCAGGTTTTTTTTAAGAGTGACATCATACGGAACCACCCCAGGACCATATATCCGCCTTGGCACCATCATACCCTTTCTTCCTCAGAACCTCTAGCACAACATACACCGAAGTTCCACACTGGGTGTGAACTGTGAAGCAACCTATCATGTCTGCATTGCTTTGGCAAGGCGGAGAGCCTGAAATCGGAGACCTTGAGGTTTTCATTGTCGTCGAGGAGTAAGTTCTCCGGCGGCTTGAGGTCGCGATGGTAGACGTCGTGGTTGTGGCAGAAATCGACGGCACTGATGAGTTGCTTGAAGTATTTCCAAGCAGTGTCTTCTTGGAGTTTGCCTTTGAGGACTTTGGCAAAGAGTTTGCCACCGGCTTTGATTTACTCCATGATGAAAAAGATATTATGCTTGGTGGCCATGACGTTCTTCAATTCAACGATGTTGGGGGTGTCGGAGCAAGCGCATGACATCGATCTCGTGCTTGATTTTGGTTGGTATTGCAATCTTGTGGAATAATTGCACAATCCAATGATGGATATAAATGCTTGAAAGGGGTTTGTGAATTTAATGCGTAGCAGAAGACCAAAATCCAAAAGTTCCCCTGCTTTTAGGTAAGCTTTGCACAAATTGGAGTGTTACCCTTTATTTGGATTTCCCTTCTCTGGATTTGTGCTATGTTTTTTCACTGATTCACTGCCCCTACCATTTGCTCTCTCTCTCTCTCTCTCACACACACATGCACACTACACCCCAGCTTTATATTTCCTTTTAACATCTCACTCCTATAATAGTATTTCCATTTTTTTCCATTTTCTTTTTTTCTTTTTTTTTTACTTTTCTGGTCATGTGTCCAAAAAGAATTGGAAATTCCACAAGAGGTTGATTTGAAGGTGACTTCAAGTCATGCTTTGTTCGTCCTTTTCATTACTGTACGGTTTAATGAAAAATTATGATCTTTTTACACTGGAAGTTTCTGTTTTGCTAAAAAAAATGTGGATCTTTTCACGCTAGTACAACTACACATCACTCAATTAGCTTGGTTATTAGCAACTATTAGTACTAAATTTCTGGAATGACATTTTTTTTTTTTTCTTCTGGAATGACAATTGACATTTCTATTTGGAGATGTTTTGAAATTCTTGTCCATGCTCAAAAAAGAGGTCAATTAAATACTATTACTCAATTTCTAATTGATAACTGTTACTCAGTTTCATCACCATGTCTTTGTTGATGACTTTGACGGTGAAGCTCTTGGCGGTGGTGATATTCTTGGCGTAGTAGACTTTGGCGAAGGTGCCTTGCCATAATAGTCTACCCATTTCGTACTTCCTAAGCATGATGTTTCAAGTTGGGGCTGTATTTCACCGGGAACCATGGTTGAATGAAGCTCGTCGGCGACGCCGGTTTGGTTACTATGGCTTTGCGGTTTGAATGGTCTCCATGATCTTGAAGCTCTGTGCTCAGTTGAGTCTACAAGATGATTTAGTAAGCTTTTTCAATTTGGGTTTGAACTGAAGCTGTCTCTTGAGCAGGTCTGTGTAACAATGGTATATTGGTAGGGATGAGGTATTTTAGTAATTCTCTTGCTTTTTAAAGGTTTAAAATGTCTTTGACTTCAACGAAGGGTACTATGGGAATTTCAATTAATTCAATACATGACATCATCAAAATAAGTCGTTGACTCGCGTTGACTGTAACAGAAGGGAGGTCCGTATAGGATAGTTTCTTTTTTAAGGGAGGTCCAAGTAAATTCCCAAACCACAGGGGAGGTCCTTGTAATTATGGCAAACCATAGGGGAGGTCCGCGTAATTTTCCCAAAATAAAACAAGTTTATTGGTGAGTCATCGGACACGTGGACATGCAATGTGGTGATGATCTAGCATTGGTCCTAATTCTAGTATCTACAATCTTCAGAGATTTATTGATATGGCATGACTGTGACAGTCACAGGGCATTGTCATCATGGTGCATGAGTTCTATGAAGTCAGAAAGGTTTATTAGTTGGAATTTAGTATTTGCAACACTGCCTTGTAATTGGGATTGGCCGTTAGTGCTTCTAAAAAAATTGCTTTCTCCACTTCCTTTTGGCCTTTAATGGAAAATGAATCATCAATTCCATTTATTAGGAAGATTGGATACTAGTTCTCTGTCTGATTTGATGCATCTAACTCCGCATGTTGTGGTTGGAGGGAGGCTTATATCCACTGGTTTACTTTTGTTATAGATTATGTAAAATTTTGACATGCTATATTTCAATTGTCATTAGGCATCAGGTTGCTCTCCTTGCAGTATTATTGACTACCAAATGTTGACATCTTTTAAATTCTCCTCAAACTATCTATTCATTGTTTCTCATGTAAAACACGCGATTGCAGTGGGCCCTCATGACAGTACTGGACCCAGCTCAAAGTCTGGCTAATTTAGTATACATTGGATATACTTATGACCCTTCATCAGCACTCCGTGTTACTAGGAGAAGATCTTTAGACCGCAAGAAGAAACAAACAGATAGAAATGTCTTCCAGTGCTTTGTTTTTGGACCTAAAAATGCTGGAAAGTCTGCAATACTGAAGTCATTTCTGGGAAGGTGTAGTTCTGACTCTTTAGCTAGGTCAAAGTCAGATTGATTTGTATTTTTTTTGCATTTCTTGACTGAACTTGTTTTCTGCTGCTTGCCTTTTTGGCTTTTGTCTTTAAAAGAGGTGTGGCTTTACTTTCTTTTTCTTGGCAGCACAAAATATCATATACTCTCTCTTCTTCCAAGCCAAATTCAACAATAAATTGTTAACTTGTTTCCAATTACAGGCTGTTTTCAGACGATAATATTTTGACTACTGATGAGGGTTATGCTACAAATCTTGTTGATAGTCTTGGGGTGAGTACATAGTGTGACTTGATAGCGTGGTAGAATCTCTCTCCCTCTCTCTCTCACTTTTGCATCATATCACATCAAACCACAAGTTTAACAAGTTAAATAAATGATCATGGTGAAATGACAAAATCTGTGTGTATTTTTATCATTATGTAATATATACGTCTTACTTTTAGTTAATATGGGGTAGCAGCTGATGTCAGAACATTTTATTCTCAACCCATCAATATCTTCTTATATGATTTATAGTTTCTCTCCATTGTTGGATTGAATAAATGTCTTCATGCTATCATGCATGCCAAAATTCAAATTACTTGGAATGCAGCGCTGAATAAATTTTTTCTAATGTTTATTAAAGAAAAATATAGCGTCTACCAGGCACTTATATCCGATGACCAGATATTGGGCATGCGTGACAAGTACGATATAGTTATATAATCCAACGATTGGATTCATAAAAGACATATTGTATTTGCTAATTAAGTCGATACCCTATCTATTTATATATATGCACATATAATTTGTTTTCTGCATTTGAATATCTATTGTTTATTACATATTTTATTCATGACTATTGAGTTCTTGCTGATTTGAAGTCTATGATTATATTTGTGATATACTACTGCAATTGTAGGGAACTAAGAAGACTCTTGTACTGCGGGAGATTCCAGAAGATGGAGTTAAAAAACTTTTGATTAATAAGGAGTTTTTGGCAGCTTCTGATGTTGCAGTTTTTGTTTATGACAGGTAAGCATGATTTGGTATATTTATTAATAACCATGAAATGATCACATTAGTTTGCTTATTTTTTTGATAAATAAGCAATTAGATTAGAACAGAAAACTAAGTACAAAAGTTGGGGAGGGCATACCCTTTTATGTACAGCAAATTAAACTCAGAAACAAAAACAAAGGCAAATAGAAATGTTCCAAGAAATTTGAAATCTACTAAAAAGGTCAGAATCATCCAGATTAGAATCAAAGCACATCTTCAACAGATTCAAAGTTTAGCTGCCAATCATAAAATGAAACCAAGTCTGGGTATGCCCCTACGAAACCAGATGCGGGAGTCCACTTTCATGTATCATTATGAACTCTGAAGGTCTAGTAAGCATCTCCAATGGTGAAAATTTTAGAATTGTCAGCCCAAATAATATTGTCGACACCATCTTTAGATGAAAGGGGTATGATCCAACAGAATATTGTTATCTCTCAGGTTCTGAAGCTCTGGATTAGGCCATTTCCAACCTTCCCTCCCCAGAATGTCAGCCACTTCTTGTTTTTCTTTTGTCCTATTTAGCATACCGTTGGAGGAATTCTATAAATTTACAGAGTTTCTTCTTCATCATCATCATCTTCTTCTTCTTCTTCTTCTTTAATTTTTTATATTTAAAAACAATCATTTTTCCTGATACAATGATGTATGAAAGCCATGTTGTTTTTTTCTTCTTAGTTCGGATGAATATTCTTTTAAAAGAGCAGCAGAATTACTTGTAGAAGTAGCTAGACGAGGAGAAGAAAGTGGCTTCGGGGTGCCTTCCCTCTTTATTGCGGCAAAGGATGATCTTGATCCATATCCAATGGCAATCAAAGACTCAGCAAAGGTATTTACTTCTTATGTGTGAGATATAAACTTCTTCCTCTGTCCCACCCTCTCCTATGCGGTTTCCAGAAAATGAATTTCTTTCTTTTTTCTTGATTTATCTTTGCAAGAGAAAAATGCTAACTTTATTGCAAATTGCAATATTCTTTTTCTTTTTAGATTTGTCAGGATATGGGAATAGATGCACCTATTCATGTCAGTGTAAAGGAAAGAGATCTGAATAATTTATTCTCTAGAATTGTAACAGCAGCGGAGCACCCTCATTTAAGTGTCCCTGAAACTGAGATTGGGAGAAAAGAGAAGAAATACCGCAAGCTTGTTAATCGTTCTCTCACGGTTGTTTCCGGTATGTATGTTGATCTTCTGAATTCCTGAACTTATCAGACAACTATTTCACATTGTTATTATTAATTGTTACATAGAAACTCAAATCTTTTCATGGATCTTATTAACATCTAGATTAAACCATCAAATCTATAATTTTCAACGATCCTCCTTAAATTATAAAAATCAAATCCATTCGTGTAGAATTCATCCCGAAATGAAGCCTTAAAATGTTTGATATGGATGCCCTATTTTAAAATTGCAGTTGGGGCTGCTGTTACTGTAGTTGGACTGGCAGCCTATCGTGCCTATTCTGCGAGGAAGAATTCATCCTCTTAGGCGTATATATTCACCAAGGAATGTGGTGCTCCTATGCTGAAATTGAAAGCAAATGGTTTGTTATATCACGTCCTTTTGTGTTCCGCATTATGCATTGTTGACCATTTTAGAGTTGGCCGTTGTATATAGAATGTTTTTACATTCTGATAATCATTTTTTCCTATTGAAAAGCATGAATTATTGTTTTCTTTTTAGAACTCTCCTATGCTGAAATTGAAAGTAAATGGTTTGCTTTATCACTGTCTTTCTTTTGTGTTCCACAATTTCTATTGTTGAGCATTTTCAGAGGATGGCTCTTGTATAAAGAATCATTTTCAGAGCATTTTCAATAATAATCACTCAAGTACAACGAGTAGTGGTAGGGACCCCGACTCCCGGACAACTCCCCGCCTCCGGAGGGTGTCCGGAGTCGGGGGATTTATTATTATTTTCTAAGTAGAATTTGCATGTGATGGGACAACCAAATACACTAGTGTTGGGAGCATCTCATCTCTTGCAGTGGCATACCTCGAGGGTGGAAATTAATGGAAAGATATCGTGAGAGAAGTAAAAAGTTGTGGTTTTTGAACAAAAGGGTTCTTTCCTTCTCTATAGAGCACATGATGGATATAGACACAATCACGTGTATGTTTATATCTTACTACATCCCTCTCTCTCTTCTCACACAAGAAACCTATGTCCACAAAAGCCACAACTCTGCGCGGGTCCGATCATCATTTTTAAGGAAATGTTACCCACTTTCCTCGTTCTGTAGTATGTTGTAAATTCTTAACACAATTAAATCTGGCTGGAAGTAGATTTAATGTGTTAGAAAATAAATTTAATTGTGCCTTCCGACTCTTTCTCATCACCCAGCCTTTTCAAGTACCAAAAACCTCCTCCACTTGGTACTGTGCAAAATACTACCTTAACCCTATGACATTTCTAATTCAAGTCCTATTGATGGAACATAATTCTCTCCCGTACATTTTACTCCACGGTGCAATTTCAACACATTTCACTTTTAAACATTTTTGCTATTAGTTTCAGATAAATTTCACCAATCTAAACTCACCGATACAAGTGGTGAAATTTATCATTACAAGTGTTGTGAGTTTAAAGCATAAAAGCATCCTGTATGAAGAGTTACTTTGGGCTCTCCCCATTTGTGAATATAGGGAACATTCCCAAACTGACCAGCCCAGTTAGCTAGTATGGTGCTGGCGGGCTACTTGTAATAAATTTTAAATTGTTTGAGAGAGAGAGAGAGAGAAAGAAGGGACAGGACAGAAAGTGAGACTCATCAGGTCAAACTCCCTCGCTTTGTTTGTAGCGTGAGTGCTAAAAAAAAAATTGCGTGGGCCCAGTGATGTGGTAATCCCCACACAGCCTGCAAGCCCAACAAGACTTTGGTTCACTACAAAACAATAATATCGGATGCTGTCACCTGATTGAATGATGGTAGGATGAGGTGCAGTATCACATAGCCTACCTTGTCTCGTCAAACAAGGCTTTGGCTCACTATAGTGAATGCTTATGGAGTGACGGTAGATCAAAACAATGATACAGAATGGTGATGGAGTGATGTTAGACTCAGTTGCAGTACCACACATGCCTACGTTGCCTCATCAAACAAGGCTTTGTCTCATGATAAAACAATGATACCGGATGTTCAAGGCTTTTGTCTCACTACAAAACAATGATAACGGATGCTTATTGAGTGATGGTACGATCAAAACAATAATACTGAATGCTGATTGAGTAATGGTAGGATCAGGTGCAGTACCACACGGCCTCATCAAACAAGGCTTTGTCTCCCTATAAAACAATGATATCAGATGTTCAAGGGTTTGGAAAACAATGATATTGGATGCTTATTGAGTGATAGTAGGATCAAAATAATGAAACGAAATAGTGATTGAGTGATGGTAGATGAGCAGGTGCAGTAGCAACAAGGGGTACCTTGCTGTTGGGTGGCCATGAAGCAATGATAGCAGGTGCTGAATGAGTGATGGTAGGAGCGGGTAGTACAACACTTTATCCAACGAGGGATGGTGCAAAGACCTTGAAATGTATTCGTAAGTAACTTGCATTATGTAAATACTTCGTATATGGGTGGAGTGTGAGAATAAAAAATATGATAATCCATCAACAAAAGCTGTGAAGAGTCACAGACTGGATAGACAATACTCGAATAACCATAATAGCCATCATTCTCTAAAACAAAATGATGCACATCTTGAGGCCGGATTCTCTCTTTAGGAAAAACAAGGTGGAGAAACCAAAATGAAACCGAAGAAAAAACACACACAAAGAGTTCCAACTTCCAGCAGAGTTTTTTAGGGTTCAAGAGATGGCTACATAGAATGACCCCCAGCTTGACATCTCTTTGTTCCCACTCCCACCTTCCTTGCACCTGCTTGGCCTTGGAACCTCCTCAATCCCAATTTCACATCCAACATTCCCACCATTACCCTCACTCGAGCAATCACCACCACTATCGTCGTGGTGGTCATAATCATCATCATCGACATTTTGTTCTTGATCGCCATTTTCATCACGTTCAAGTTCTTCATAGCATTTGGTTACTTTCTCTTCATCTTTGGTCTCGGTACTCTGACAATACGAAGAACAGTCCTTCAGCAAACAGAGCCTAAGCCGGCCATTCACACGATTGGCCTGAAGGTAAGTGTTGCGAGAAACAGAGACAGCTTCTATAACTAGCCGGCCACCTTCCCGGTGAGGCCTTACTCGAACAGTGTCTGAGCCGCTGATCGAGCTCAGGGGAGGCGGGAAACTATCATTACCAATCACTTTTTTGGTAAATTGTCGAGGCTTTGATCGATGATGCATTGTGTGGAAGTTCTGATTCTCCGATAAAAGAGAAGAGAATTCATCGCTAATGTCACTACCTGTTTCGCTTCCCAAACTCTCAGTGCACATTTCCAAGCTTTTCATGCTTAGAATGGATGAGGAGCGCTTTACAAGGGGGTGAACATAGACAGTCTCTTTGTGGGATGCGTTGGAGAGAGCTTGAATGCAGCTCCAATCACCCAGCTCGTCGTCATTGTTGTTGCTTTTGTGTTCAGAATCACCAGAACAATTGTTGTGGGATTGAGAAAAGTTGGATTTGGGTGGAGTCAATTTGTGCCTTAAAACAAGGGATTCAACGAGCGGAGGCTCAGGACATGATGGCAGCCCTTGACACACACTCGAGGACATGGTCTTATACTTTTAAGTAAGATGTGAAGTAAACAGAGTAAGAACAGATGGAAGAGGGGAAGAACAGAGGACTTTTAAAATTTTCAAGAAATAGAGAGAGAGAGAGCATGAAGGACAATTGAAGGGTGTGATGGTGAATTTATAGGTGTAGAAAAAGCATTCACAGAGAGACATCTGCTGTGGCGACTAGAGAGAGAAGAATTTATGCCTACTAGAATTATTAAGCTTTTTACTCTGCCGCCCATTATCACGAGAAAACGAAACAAGGAAAAGGGGAACAAAAAGTTGGTCATTTTTGAAGATTTTATGTAGTGGGCACTTTTAAATATATATATATATAATATAAAGGACTTAATGGGCTTGTTATGAGTTTCTTAATTTGATGGATTGATTTGGAAATTAGTGTTAAATGATTTAAAAAACAAACTTTCCATAGATACTCTTTTGTCATCCAAAAACAAGCCAACAAACAAAAGATTGTTTATGATATCATTGATGGGGGATCACCTTTGCTTTGCACTGTTTAAAACCTAAGTTGATTGTATCTCATTCATATGTTCCCCACCAAAACACCAATCAGCCTCTATCTTTAAGTACCATTCTGTTTTCGTGACCTTTAATTCACACACACTTTCATAACAATGCTCATCTTCACAATAGAAAAGAAGAAGAAGAGAAAGACGGGATAAACATAAACATGAATCCACTACAGCTGTTTCTGTTTGTCGCCACTGTGATCACCATGAAAAAGAAGGAAATTTGCTATTACAAGACAATCTGCTTTGAACATCATTCACGTGACCATCAATCATATTGTGACCATCAGTGCCATATACATTGGGAGATTACTTTGTAATTATTACTAAGAAATTTCCATTACAAGTGATATGGTCCACACATCATAGTAATAAACAAAATCTCTCAATTTGTATCTATTTAATTTTTCACTAAAAAAAATGCATTTATACTCTTCCTTTTCCTTTATTATACGTATTTCTACTCCAAGACCATTAATGCATTTATACTCAGGACATGATGGCAGCCCTTGACACACACTCGAGGACATAGTCTTATACTTTTAAGTCAGATTTAAAGTAAACAGAGTAAGAACAGAGGAAAGAGAGGCGAAGAACAGAGGACTTTTAAAATTTTCAAGAAAGAGAGAGAGAGAGAGAGAACATGAAGGACAATTGAAGGGAGTGATGGTGAATTTATGGGTGTAGAAAAAGCATTCACTGAGAGACATCTGCTGTGGCGACTAGAGGGAGAAGAATTTATGCGTACTAGAATTATTTAGCTTTTTACTCTGCCACACGAGAAAAAGAAACAAGGAAAAGGGGAACAAAAAGTTGGTCATTTTTGAAGATTTTATGAAGTGGGCACTTTTAATATATTTAAAAAATTAAGGACTTAATGGGCTTGTTATGAGTTTCTTAATTTGATGGATTGATTTGGAAATTAGTGTTAAATGATTTAAAAAAAAAAAAAAACAACTTTCCGTAGGTACTCTTTTATCATCCAAAAACAAGCCAACAAACAAAGGATTGTTTATGATATCATTGATGCGGATCACTCATGCTTTAAAACCTAAGTTGATTGTATCTCCATTCATATGTTCCCCACCAAAACACCAATCAGCCTCTGTCTTTAAGTTTCGTTACCTTTAATTCACACAATGCTTATCTTCACAAGAGAAAAAAAAGAAGAGAAAGATGGGATAAACATAAACATGAATCACTACAGCTGTTTCTGTTTGTCGCCACTGTGATCACCATTAAAAGAATGCATTTATACTCTGCTCTTTCGTTTTTTATACATAATTCTACTCCAATCTGTTAAATTATTTTATATGAACTCAATCAATCATAAAATGATATATAATAAAATAATAATAATAATTTTATTTAGCTGTTCATCCAAATTTGTCATTGTTGATGAAATTGAAAAAAACTTAAAAGAGGGGAGTACACAACCATTTATCTTGAAATTAATTACAATTTTAAGTAAAGAAATTACTAAAGTTAGGTAAATTTAGAATTAGTTCTTGTTAACACTTTCACGTAATCGTGTGATTGGGTAACCAATGTGAAATAATGATTTATTTAATCTAATTTGTTGGTGGTTTGCTTTTGTTTAGAATTGGCCGACCAAACCCTTGTGAAGCAGGGAAAAAAAATTGGGATTATTTGCGTCATCAATCCCCTTATGGTATTTAGTCGCACATTATTCTTAATACACAGTTTTCGAGCTTCCCTAAGATAGATAGACAGGGAATCAATTCGTGGCTTACACAACATATCAACAGAGCCGCACTTTGCTACCTTTTTGACCCATGCGGTGTCGTCTTTTTTCTTCCAAGGCTCGTCCTTGTCGGGAATAGGGCTGCACCATTAGATACTTGTTGAAAATTTTGGACATTAAGAAAAAATATTTAATTTATAGAAATTTCTTAATCTTAATAACCAAAATATTTTTTCATACGATTTTTTATTTTACTCTTGCGGTTAGACATATTGGTCCTTGTTTTTGTGTCTTTCAAAAATCAGAAAAAAAAAAATTTGTTAAATTTAATTTTGTGCCGATAGTAAATAAAGATGCATTATGCCCTTGAAGTGCAATGAGGCAACAACACTCGCACCTTTCGGTGGCATAAGGATGGTAGTTCCCACTATTTTATTTATTATTATTTTTTTTTTTGAGTGTTGCCGAATACGGAGTATCATTATTCTTTTTAGGCCATTAAAAGTAGTCTGTGGAGAGAATCATTAGTATACCCCAGTCGGGTATTCTATACTTAAAGCAACCCCACAACCCCAGTGCACTCATTGATTTTCATTCCACACACACTTTATATAAAGTGTGTAGCCACGTCATCAACTTTATATAAAATGTATAGTTACATCAGCATTTAATTATACACTTATTTTTAAGACTTTAAGTTCTTGTTGTGCACTCATTTTTTCATTGTACACTTTATTATATCATTATTTTTTAAATAATAAAATAAATTTTTTATTATTATTTTTTTCTTAACAATTTTATTCTCAACAACTATAATACAAACGGTTATAATTGTTTGCTCCGATTTAGATACAAGATTTTATATATATATATATATATATATATATATATATATAAAAGAAAAAAAAAGTGCATTACATAACTTCTTACAAATAAAATAAAAAATACAACTCAGGAACAAAAAAATACATTAATACTTCCACACATGAAAAAAAAAAAAAAAAAAAAAAAAAAAAAAAAAAAGAATAGTAAACATTACAATTTTGTCTTTTTCCTAACGGCTATATTCCCAACGACTATATTATGTTTGTCTTATTCTAACGGCTATATTATGTTTGTCTTTTTGCTAACTGATATATTCTGTTTGTTTTTTTTCTTCAACAACTATATTCTCAATGGCTGTATAAACCACTCATTTTCTCATTTTTTCAATTATCAAGTCCACTTCTTTACATCTTCGAATTCATTTTCTTTTCTTTTAGTCTTTATCTTTATTATAGAAAAAAAATGGCTTCATTATCACAATCTATTCCAGTGTCCGGGTCAATTTCTCCATTGAGTTCATTTTCTTCTTCTGACGGGGAAGATTTTTTTGAAGAACATCAAAAAAGGATGAATGTAGTGATGCAACTGTTATCGCCTGAGAAGGTAAATGCATTCTTTCGACGTCGTAAGAGAAGATATATTAAACGTGATCGAAAGGAAGCAGCCCAACGGCTACTCCAAGATTATTTTGCTGAAAATCCCACTTTTCCACCCGAGATGTTTCGTAGACGATTTCGGATGCGCCGAGAGTTGTTTATTCGCATTTTAAACGGTGTTACAGCATATGACGAATGGTTCATCTAGAAGCCTGATGCCCTCGGTTGTATGGGTTTCACTCCTATACAAGAGATGACAGCTGCAATACGTATACTTGCATATGGAATTTCAGTAGATCTTTGTGATGAGTACATAAAGATTTCTGAAACCACTGCGGTTGAAAGCTTGAAGCACTTTTGTGATGCTGTAATTGCAGTGTATGCAGGGCAGTACCAATGCATACCGAACGAAGAGGACATTGCACGTCTGCTTCGAGAAGGTGAAGAAAGAGGCTTCCCAAGTATGCTTGGCTCTATAGATTGTATGCATTGGGTATGGAAGAACTGCCCTACAGGGTGGCATGGCATACACAAGGGAAGAAATCATAAGCCTACCCTTATATTGGAGGCGGTTACATCGAAAGATCTGTGGATCTGGCATGCTTTCTTTGGTATGGCTGGTTCAAACAATGACGTGAATGTCTTGGATCATTCCCCGGTGTTCAATAGCCTGATCAATGGCACAATGCCTCCGATTAATTACGAGGTAAATGGTCATCGACGTACAATGGGGTATTACTTATCTGATGGTATTTATCCCAAGTGGGCAACTTTGATTCAGACCATCCCACACCCAACACCTGTCAAAGAGAAATTATTTGCTAAAAAACAAGAAGCCGTTAGGAAAGATGTTGAACGAGCGTTTGGCGTGTTGCAGATCAGGTAGGCTATAATGCAAGGACCCGTGTATTATTAGGATAAAGAAGATTTAAACAAGATAATGAGAACGTGCATCATATTGCATAATATGATCATTGAAGATGAGCGTGGACACATTTTGCAATGGACACCTCCGCCGGATGAGCCAATATCCCTCCCACAATACATTCGAAACCCAACAATGTTGGCGGCACACATTTCCGGTCGTTTTAGAAGAATTCGTAATAGAGCGGATAATGCTGATCTCAAAAGACATCTGATGGAACATTTGTGGAATCAATTTGGTAATGAAGATGTTTAAATTTGGTGTAATCGAATAAAATGTAATTTTTATATTATTATGCGAATTAATTAAATCAGTACGTGATGAAGATGTTTAAATTTATTAATTGAATAAAATGTTATATTTTATATTATCATGCAAATTAATTAAATTATTATGTAATAAATAAATAAATTAAATTGATAAGTCAAAAAGTACTAACTTTTTTTTTTTCTTTTAAAAAATAATTAATTAAAAGCTTATGTAAATTAAATGACTCTTTTTATTTATATTAAAAAAAATGACTTTTTTTTTAATTAATAAAAATTTAATTATCTTTATATTAATTAATTAATCCAATATACATACCATACTTATTTTACATATCACATTTTTATTTTATATTATTCTCACACACAAACCCACAAAATGGCCCACTTTTCTGCTGCGACTGCGCATTTGACAGGCGCTACTCCATTCCTCAATTGTGGCGTGTTGAGTGTGTAACATTATGTGGGCCCCGCAAGTGTATAAGCTGCACAGGAAAGATTTTGCTTCTACACAGTCATACATATTACACACATTGATGGTGTGCTGGGGTTGCTCTTATTCCACGAACCATGCATGGTGGGTCCCACATGAAATTTCTCTGATTAATCCGTGTTTGTCAAATTTATTTGTACAACTTTCATCCTGCCACACACATAATATATTCATTCTTCTTGAGTTTCGAACAAATTTCATAATGATAGATCGTTTTAGACTATTTTTAATACAAAATGTTTTTTTTTTTTTTTTTTTTTTTTTTCATAATTGGGTTTGTATAAAAGAAAGAAAAAGTATTTACAGGCGCACAGAGGGCATTCCCTCATAATGAAACAGAAATGGAAAAACCTATTTCAAAAAAATAAATGAAATGTAAACAAATAATGCTAAATAATGTCCCTAAGGGGGACATTATAAACATCAAGAACTTCATATAAAATTTGTCGAGCCACCTTAGAGGTGGACCTAGAACTGTGGTCATGAAGTCTTCGATTTCTCTCTTACCAAATACCCCAAAGCCTAGCAACTAGCATAGTGTGAACCATTTTGCTACTCTGCTGCAAAAACCAAGTTAACAAATCATCCATTGAGTTCAAAAGAGTAAAATCAGTCCTCCAATCAAGAGTGTCTGCCAACCATTTCCAGAAATTCCTTGCAAATGGACATTAAACAAACAAATGATTTCTGGTATCAATCCCTTGTAAACAAAGAGAACATCTTGGAGCCAACTGCACATTTCTTCTTTGCATATTATACATAGATGGTAGTCTATCTTGGAACAGAAAGACACCATTAACTGACCACTTCGGTCTAGCTTTGCCCTAGCAAATTTTAGACCAATTAACCTCTGGATTTATGACCCTACAGCTTTCCCACACATTTTTGAATGTGAAATTTCCTCCATACCAAAGTAACCTATCAGTTCTAGAGTGAATTGTCAATGTACACAAATAATCTCTAATAGGTTTAAAAATATCCTCCTGTAACAATTCAAAATTCCATCCACCATCAATCATTAGTTGCGACAATGATGAATTCCATGTGAAACCCAACCTTCTGACAATTCTATAGCCAAATTTCTGCAATAAAGTCACCCCCTCACACCAAGGATCTAATATAGCTTTAAAGAACTGCCCATCACCAATTGAGAAATGAATTGCATTAAGCAAAGTTTCTCTAACATTAATCATGTTCTTCCACAAGATTGAATGTGAAATCTTAGGAATAGCATTCCAAAAATTAGAAGATGTTGTATACCTGTGATGAAACCAAGATATCCAAAGCCTATCCTTGCTTAATAGGAAATCCCAGGCCAAGACACACTGAGAAGTGACCTGCAGATCTTTCAATTTCCTGATACCCAAACCTCCCTCATCTTTGGGCCTGCACATCATATCCCAGCTCAAGAGATGAAGTTTATTCATTTTTTCCCTGCTTCCCCAAACAAAATCTCTACGCATCTTTTGAATTTGATTGATGACTACTATAGGAAGTTGAAAAACGCTGCACCAGTAAAGACATGTAGGAGTAATAACCAACTTGATCAGCTCAGCTTTACCTACAGTAGATAACAGCTTAGTACTCCAATGAGAGAGCTTTTTGGAGATTTTATCAATAAGAGCATTACAATGGAATTTTCTGAAATCAGTAGAACTCAATGGTAACCCCAAATATTTGAAAGGAAAGACATCCTCCTTGCATTGAAGCATGTTCAAAATTGATCTCTTTCTTCTGGCAAACTTGGAAAAGATAACACTACTTTTCTGATAATTAATATAAAGACCAGCAACATCCCCAAAAATCTTGAAAATATGTTTAAGTGTTCTAGCATTAGAAACTGAAGCTTTGTAAGTAATCAAAAGATCATCAGCAAAAAAAATATGACAACATGTGGATTTTGCTTTCAAGGCAGTATTTGACAATGTAAGTCTCCCCTCTGAAATAGAAGTATTAATAAGCTGAGATAATTGATCAGCTACCAAAGTAAATAGCAGAGGTGAAAGGGGGCATCCTTGCCTTAATCCTTTTGAGGGTTGGATAAAACCAGTGGGAGATCCATTCACAAGAATTGAGTATCTAGTGGAATGCAAAAGGTTACTAATCCATTTGATCCAAATAGGACTGAAACCAGAAGTGATAAGAGTCTTCAAGAGGAAACTTCACATGTTAAATTTATATTTTGTGAGTAGTTATAGTATCAAAACAATATATTTTAGTAATTCTGTTTCAATGATGGACCATTTTTTTTTTTTTTTTTTTTTTGTGAGTGTTTGTATTTTATTTAGCTTATTTGCCTTATTAAAAATAATAATTATCAAATCCAACTGAGTTTTGAAAATTTAGATAACTTTTGAATTAACAAACATATATAGTTATATATATAAACACAGACATATATATACATACATATATACCAATACTGACATATATATATATACAAGCACAACACCAAACTACAAAATCTACAGGAATCAAAAGTTCAAAACCCATATATTTCAGTTTGGCAGAAACAATAACCATAGCTATAGTTTGTGCTATATTTGGCACAAGATTTGGCAAAGTTATATTTTGGCATCCCATCTAACCGTCCATTAGAGAGCCCATGTTAAACTCACCTGCTATATTTTGAGATTGGCAGCCCATTTGCCAGCCTATTGGAGTTGCTCTTAACATTTATCATTTGAGTATTGTTATTTATCTTGATAAATAGAATAATACTTGGGTCCAACCCAGGATCGATCATCTAACCTGTTAAATATAATGGGATGCATTTTTAAATATAAGGTAATTAACTAGTAATATGTTACATTATATTTTATACAATGGAATGATAAAATTGTTACTCCCTTTATTCAAAAAGAAAAAGAAAAAAAAATAGTCCCTTTTGAATAATTTTGACTCACAATTTGTCCAAATTTTGATCAATATGTATGTGGGAAAGAAAAACATTAGAAATGTCGTTGAGAATACTCATCAAATCTAAAAAGAAGTCAAAGTAGTAAACCCTCAACGGCCTACCCATCAATAATTTGGAGATCAGTAATTTAATCTACATTCACTAATTGCTCGTCAGTACAAAATATAAGAAAATATGACCCACCACTCTCTCGTATTTAGTAAACATGATTAATTAAAGGTTTAGGTCTGAAAATTCACTTTAACCAATTGGCCCAAGTATGGTGCATCATGGTTCACCATATCGATTGATTTATAACTCTTTTTCAAAGGTCCGATACCGTTACATAAGTTTATAAATCGATTGATTCGGCTGATTTTAGGTGTAACAATTCGTGTCCGTGGGACATAATTATGTCGTGTCGATGTATGTGTATTCTACTAAATAGGTAAACTCAAAACCAACCAACTGAATAATCGTGTCAGAAACCTTTAATACTAACTCGACCTGTATATTAAACGAGTTAAGTGTTAACCCGTTTAATGAACTGTCTATCAAAACGAAACATTTAATATTCAATCAAATAATAAATATTAGAAAAAAATTGTTACAATTAACCCAAATATTCAAAATAAGAAAAAAAAAAATCATAATACTTAGTCAATATTTATGTTAAAACGACTTAAATGTCCATAATAATTGAATTTAAACAGATAACATATTACACATGTCATATTTATAATTATAACATGTTGAGTTAAACGTGTATAAACGGGTTATATGTGTTGAATCCCCTCAACCCTAACTCGATATGATTAAATAAACGAGTTAATCGTGTTAACCCATTTATAATTCAAACTCGTTTAAGGTCAACCCAAACTTACTTATCTTGTGTCATGACGAATGGTATTGTAATTTGCCACCCCAAACTAATTTACATCATTATTCTTTGGAGTTATTTTACATTGCGAGCACGACAACAACACATACCGCGATTGTGACGCATGTGCTACACATCAATGATGTTTGAGGTACGTGTTTAGTAGAGGTCAGTTAATTGAAACGCCCTCGTTTGACGGAGGTTGACTGTTGCTTTACGTGGGCAAATAGTAAGAAGCGTCAACTTGGGTATTCCTAGTTCCCAAAAGTCTTCAAGATTCAGCGGATCAGTGCCCACATTTACGCGTTCTACGGTCCTGATTGAGGATGCGATTCGGAGAATCATTGTGATCGACGACGCGTGATCTACCGATTGATCGTGGGCCCACTCGTGTAGCAGAAGAGAGTCTAATTGGACCATTAATAGTAAAACTTCGCACCCATCATTTAATGAGTTTTACCTTTAGAAGAAGAGAGACCAGAAACTTCAGTGTTCTTGTTGCATGTTCTAGAGAGAGAAAGATAGAGAGAGAGTAGTGGGTTAAGATCTTTTTCTGTTTTTTGAATCTGTTTGAAGAATGGGTAGGAAACCCAAAGCCGCAAAGGTCGTTGAAGGAATTGCTGATACCATGGTATATTTGAACTCTCTCTTGGTTGATGATCTGTTTTTCATTTTTTATTTTATTTATTGAAAAGATCTGGTTTTTTTATTTTCAATCTTTGAGTATTTACGTGCTTATATATATGTGCGCGCGCGCGTGTGCGTGTGCGTGTATGTTGAGACTGGGGTGTTTGGCGATTAGGGTTTTTAGTTAAAGAACGGAAAGCGTTTTTTTTCTCTTCTTTTTCCGAAACCACAAGAACCCGGTGAGAATGCAGACATATACTCTCATCTCTCTCTCCACACACACATTATATATATGCATCTCTGAGTGTGCTTGTGCATGTGGGTTTGTGAGGAGCAAAAAGCTTTTGTCACTATACTCTGGCTATTGTGTCCTCTTTTAAACACTTTTTAGCCTTTTAGGTGAAATTAAATTATCCTTTTGTATATCTCTGTGTGTGTTTTATTGGGGTTGGAGGGTTTTGAATGGGTCATACATTGGAGTATGTTATATTTAAGAACGCAGAGATAATTTTTGGCATATCTCTTAATTTGGCAATAGATTTTCAGTAATTTTGTGAGTAGATGAATGCCCATGTTTGGACACATAAATGCATTGCATATTCTGACTAATCCCAAATTATTCCCTTTGTCAATGTTGTTTCATTTCGTTTACATTTTCTTTTCCTGTACCTTTTCTCGTGGGCTTGTATATGATTCTTTTCCCCCCTTGCAAAATGAAAATTTGTTGTTTCTGTATTTCAGAAGAATGTTTATTTATTAAAGATGTTATTAGATCATCGTTGGAAGACTATTTCAAAAAGACACTTTTACTTTAATAATAACAAACAAGAGGGTTTCATGTTGAAGAATATGGCTTTCAATTACCAAATTAACTTTTTTTGTGTGTGTGTGTGTGTGTGTGTGTGTGTGGATCAAATGTACATTCTTGGTGATATCTACTTTTGTTATAACTAATGAAGAAATTTTTACAATGATGCTATGTTTAGGAGCAGAATCGTCGACTTGGATTTGGAAATTTGTTCCAAATCCAAAACACCGATTCAGTGCTCCCAAACGCAACATGAAAGTATTTAATGTTTGATTTAATGTTAGAAAATCATTTTGATTTAATAGAATTACATTTGATTGAAATTGATTGTTGCTTTTTTCTTCTTTTTTTATTTTTATTTTTTTTTATTTTATCAAAACTTATTCACTAACTACATTATTTTATTCATAGCCTGAAAATGCAAATCCTTCTTTGGAGATGGTGAATCCTGGGACTAAAATGCAACCCAACTCTGCTTTCTTAGATTTATCGAAAAAAGACGCTGCTTGCTTACCTACGAAGAAGAAAGCATCAAAGAACCAAAAAGCTATTGTTAGGCGATCTGAGCGCCTTCATAACATAATCCCACATGCTAGAAACCAAGAGATAGAGCCTGTGATTGAGGAAATAAATCTTGTTGAAAGCGAGAAAGAAGACGAGCCAAATGTTGAACAAAATTCCTCGGAGCCACTCCCACATGAGAGAGACTTGGAAGAAAAAATTGACTATCTTGTTGAAACAATGGAAGAATTGAAGTCCAAGGCATCTAATATATTTAGATCTAACATCATTATTTCTTTCATTTTAGTCCAATATTTCTGATAACGGACGTGTGTTTTCATTTGAAACAGGCAGCCAAGAGGTACTTTCAAAGTGAAATTAAACAGGGGGACCTCAGTTACAGGGGCCTTTATATTGAGTCACAGAAGAAAGTAGGTTATGTCCTTTAGCACTCTTTTAGTGTGCTATCATTTTTCCATTACCTATATTCCTACTGTTTGTTCATTTTTTTGTCGTATGCAGATTGAAGCCTTGACAGATGAAAACAATCAGCTTAGTAAGAATTTGGAAATTGCTATTGCAAAACTTGAAGGAGTATGTTCAATTTACTCCCCGTCTGCTCCTAATATACTGGTCTTTTACCTTTCAACAGAGAACAACTTGTGGTTTTTGTTGTTGTTGTTGTTGTTTCTGTTATACTGGAAGCTAAATTCAATGTGTAATGTTTATATATTGACAATAATAAAAGCTGGATGTGTGTAAGCTCCAACAATTTAATTTGGTTACTATCTTGAATGGCTGGCCTTCAAATAAAGCTGCATTTATAGTAATAGATGCATATATAGATATATTAAAATTCTTCCTTTTGTTTTATAGACTTTAGAGATGTCAAGCTTATTTCATTTCTTTTTTGCTTGGTTGCAGTTTGAAAAAGGGAGTCGAAATTGTTCTAAAATCATTGACAAACTGAAGGACGTATTTTTGATTTCAAATCTGGCTAAAGCTACTGAAGCAGCCTTTAATCTGCCAACACAAGAAACATCTGGCGGGAATTCTTCTCTTGATGGAGCTGCTGAACCCCAGGTTTCTGCTATGAAGAGAAAGAGGGTTGCTGCAAGAAGTAAAAAGAACTGAATTTACCAAATTATTCTAGTATTTTTGTGACTAACCTCTAAAAGCAGAATATGTTGGTAATTATGGTCCTCTCTTCTTTGTTTCTGTTGGTACTACTTATGGGTTTCTATTCTCATGTCCATAGTTTTTTGACTTGCCTGTTTGGAGAAGTAGTTGCTGCTGTTTGATTAACTTAATAGATAATCTATATGGTTTTTGCACTGGGGATTTTAAGAAGTGGGATTTGTTTGTCACTGTCACATTTTAAAGGTAATTGCAAGATTGTGTTTGTGGGTAAATTAACAGAGACACATAAGTAAGAATGCATCTATTTTGGTGGATCCCATCACTTTGTGTTGGGGTGATACCATGTCATATAGATTTTGTATTTAGTATAAAATTTAAATTTCAGATAAACTGCCTTGAGATTATGTAGGTAAGAATTTTGTATTTAGTATGAAATTTAAATGTCAATGCTAATTTGGTTACAAATCACCAGGGTAGTTGGTTAAAGAATTTGGGTGGTTGCTTTTCAACCATCCAATATTTTGGCCATCTCATAATTCAGATGAGTTTTTTATATGTTAGGTAAGAATTTTGTATTTCATGTGGAGTTTAATTTTGTGTCTGTCACGCCAAATTTAATTTATTTCTGCTTGAGAGATGAAGAAAGCAGCCCAAAAAAAACAATACTAGTAATTACTTCTCTACTATTAGATGTAATTAGGCCAACCGATACACCATAGTTGCAAGCAATGTATAAAAAATCCATCTGATAACAGACATCAAAATTTACACTTGGGAGTGAAACTTCAACACCAGATCTAAAATGAAAAGAAGACCGTGTCCTGTGCCCCCTTACGAAGATCTTCTGCCTCTACTGTTCTTGACAGTAGAATTCATTAAGAGAAGTGGATAACCCAAAACGCTCACCGCCTTTTGGTGTCTTTGTTAAAACTTCATCACCATCCTCCTCTGGTATGGATGGCGGTGGAGACGAAAAGTCTAAGCAAGTTCCTCTTATTATATGCTCATAGGTTTCAGACAGATCTTGGGAGGTAAGTTGGTGGTACTCAACAAGCTGGTGCAGGCATTGGTTTTCCCTAGTTAAGTTCGCATTTTCATTTGCTAATCTGGATTTTTCAGCAAGCAGAGCCTCCAGTTGAAGCCTCACCTGACCAAAACAGACGTTCCACATTGTTAAGATTAAAGAATTTTATGATTGTTTGTTTGGATGCATATTTTTCATGGAGAAACTTTTTTGGAGTAATTTTCCAAGAAAATTTCTGTGTGGTTCCAAGAAAATTTCTGTAAGGAATAAGCATTTCATGCTTGCTTGATTTTAAGCCTAAAAACTTCTGATTAAGGGAATATGAAGTGATCAAATAGAGTAAAGGCTAACCAGATCATCTTCCTCAGGTCTAATCCCTTTGGCAAACCCGTCACGAAGCCTCCTGTTCTCCTCTTCAAGCAGAGCGCATCTCTCTTGCACAAAACACAAATCTGATTTTATCAATTTCAGTTCTCTTGCAAATGAAGCCGCATTGCTCGCCATAGAAATCGCAAGCTGCAAAAGATGATGAACAACACAAGTAGCAATCAGCACAAGCTCGCTTTTTTCACTTAGTATCACATCTATTATTGAGCAAATAACCAGAAGAGAGATAGAGACCAACATTTTTTGCTTTATTGAGCTTCTTCTCATTGTCCTTATGTGAATCATCATCTTCTTTTTCCACACAACATTCTTGAGTAGCAAACTTCCTTTTCAATCCTCTCTTGGCTTCCTCTTCATCTTCTTCTCCTTTCTCTTCTGCTGCTTCTTCAGATTCATCTTCTTTGTTTTTAGCCTTTTCCATTGCGCTATGAAACATTTCAGTTAATGTGGGTGGTCTTGCAAGATCTCTTGCTCCCTGAAAAAGACAGGAGAAATATAGAATATTAAGCCAAATATGCTTCCCCATTGGGTTTTAAATTTCTCAAAAATTACAAATGTATGGAGATTCTTCATATCAGTAGCTTATGTGACTAATTAATTTTTTTGGGTATTTTTCCATGTAAACTCAAAGAATTCAACCCCTTCCTGTCTCTGACTTACCCTTTGATTGTACCTAAATCTAAATCAGAAAATAGATTGTTTTCTACATATTCTTGAACAAATGACACAAAATTTGAGAACCCAATTCTTATCTGACCATACAGAATTTTTTGGGTATTTTTTCATGTAAACTCAAAGAATTCAACCCCTTCATGTCTCTGACTAAGCTAAGTAGTAACTACCCTTTGATTGCACCTAAATCTCAATCCGAAAATAGATTGTTTTCTACACATTCTTAAAGAAATGAGCCAAAGTTTGAGAAACCATTTGTAATCTGACCATACTGATCCAAAAGAACAAACCCCAGAAATATCAATCCAATTTAAACTTGGTGAGCTGTTTTTGTTACCTGAAGTGCATTATCTAGATTGCTAGATAGCTGAGACAGAGAATAGGCAACAGAGTCAAAACCTCTGAGCAGAAGCAACGAGTCCTCCTTCATTCTTTTTGCACGGTCAAATTCTCCAGCATTCTATCAACAATTTTCAACATAACCCACAAATTGATTCTCAGAGAAGAAAGAAAAATTAAATAGAAATTGATAGAAAAATCCAAGACACACACTCACCGTTTGTGTGGAAGAAGACTGATAAATAGGCTTCCGATTGTCGAGAAGTGTTTCAATACGGCCTCGGAGCGTGCTCCAGAAGCGCTTATCTGATGAAGGGCTGAACATAGGAGACGAACTCATAAAGCTATTTGATTCCTGCAATCACAATTTTGAAGCAGTTAATAGACAATAATTGAAACTAGTCATGTGATTTAATTAGGAGAATAAAGAAGAAACAGACCTTGTTGAGGTTAACAGGAGATGGAGATTCGACTGAAACTGCCATTGGAGCTTAGATTTAGAGAGAGAGATTGTGTTTATAGAGAGAGAAGGGTAACGGCTAGTTTTTGGGAGCCTTAGTGAAGGCGGTGTTTAAATAGATGCGCTGTTGTCGCCAACGTTCCAATTATGTGAAGTGGACTTTCTGTGAATTCCTTTTATAACCCTTGATAAAAGGATGATCTAAAATAATCGGACGGTTGATATTTTTCAAGGCTTCTTACAATTTTATTTTGGCATCAGACTAGGACCCACCGTTCCTAAAGTACTAGCTGGGCACATTCAATTAACTCTATCACCAATGAAATGTATTCCGGAATTAAGCTCAAGTATTTCATGTTAGTGTGAAAAAAATAAAATAAAATAGGGTGTAATGCTCCTTATTATATTGGCAGACTAAATAGAACTGAATTTGTCTTAGTGCACTTCTTGTTAAGGATTACCAAAAAAAAAAAAAAAACAATATATGAATGTAATTTATGTGAATCTATTATGTAGTTGTGGAGATTTGAAAATTTGTAACAATTTTAGTTGTTAAATATATAAAAATAAAAATAGTATCTAGCTTTGGGGTGATTAAATTAGAATGTAAAAACATAAGAGTTTTTGTTTTTTGAGATGTGATTTTCGGCCAGTTAAGATTTGAATGTTGATTAAATTTGAATGTAATTTATGTGAATCGATTTTATTAATAAATTTACTGAACGTTTGTAGTTGTCTAGATCTAAAAATTTGTAAAAATTTTAGTTGTTGAATATATAATATATATATATTAAAAAAAATAGTATTTAGCAATGGGGTGATTAAATTAGAATGTAAAAACATAAGAATTTTTGTTTCATGAGCTGTGACTTTTCACTGGTTAAGATCTGAATGTTGATTAAATTAGTATGTGAAGACATGTTGAAACAGAGCAATTAGTACAAGTTTGGATGTAAAATATTTTTCAAAAAATATTTTTTATTTTTTATTTTCTTATGTTTGGTTGTCATAAAATATTTACGAAAAAAAAAATTAAACCATAAATTTTCGGCTAGTTACTTTACATACCCCGCTCGATGGACTCGACCTTAACGTAAACCTTTGCCAAACACAGAGGCTCGACCTTCGTAAACCTTTGCCAAACATAGACAAAGTTTACCTAAGCATAAATCTACATTAATTTTATTATCCAATAGATAGATAGAGAGGTCAAAATATAAATCTGGATTTAGTATTTTTTACATTTGTAATTTTTTTTTAATTAATTGGGTAACTTTTAAATTCATCCGGGAAACGAAGGTAGTTGAAAAAGCAGGTGTAAATATAAACCTATATGTTTGGATCAAAAACTGCTGGCTCTCATAGGATCATCAAAAGCAGTCAATGGCCACTCTTGCTGCTTCCCCATCCTCTCTCCTCTTCACCTCCCAAAACTCCAACCTTCCTCAACCTTCTCTCTCTTCTCCTTCCCGCCTCCTTCTCTCCTCTCACTCTTCGTCTCTTTCTTCATCTCTGTCAATTTCCCCTTCTTTCTTCACATATCCCACAAGCTCCAGACGCCTTTCACTCTCTTCCTTCACTGTCAAGGCCAGTGCTGCAGAGAAGAAGAAGGTCCTTATAGTGAACACCAACAGTGGTGGGCATGCAGTCATTGGTTTCTACTTTGCTAAGGAGCTCTTGGGTTCTGGCCATCAGGTCACCATATTGACTGTTGGTCAAGAAGCTTCAGACAAGATGAAGAAGCCCCCATTCAACAGATTCTCTGTTAAGATTTCATCATTATACATACATATACACACACCGTGTATTTATACATATTCAATTTGAGTTCTATTGTGAAATTTTCTTCATTGTTGAATTTTTTTTATTTTTATTTTTATTTTTTTTTATGATGATTTTGCAGGAAATTGTGAGTTCTGGTGGTAGCACAGTATGGGGAGAACCCGCGGAAGTTGGGAAGGTGGTGGAAGGGGCGGCCTTTGATGTGGTCTTGGATAACAATGGAAAGGACTTGGATACTGTGAGGTTTGCTGTTTTCAAATATTGAAATTGAATTTTATTTCTCTTGATTAATTGGCTTTATTCAATGTAATGTTATTCAGTCTTTTGCTTGATAGAAGTTGAAGCTTTTGAGTAAATTTATGTCTTATACAAATTATTGAATTTTAATAATAATCATTTGATGAGAGAGGGGCAACATGAATGAAGTCCATGTGCATGAAAGAAGTTCACAATGGTTTGTGTAGTTGGTTGTACAAACATTATTGTGGAATATGGATAATAAATCCTATTGTTAAATAATGATATTGATTAATTCTTTTAAACTCAAAATGTATCGAAGGCAATGGCAATTCCACAAGCTTTTGGTGAGTTCAAATAGGAATTGTGCTTCTATAATTCACCAGCTTTGCAAATGAACTATATAATTAAAATGGTGTACTTGAGGTGACCAATTTAAGTTTTAACACGCACATTCTAATATTTATCTTTACATATAGGCCTGTGGTTGATTGGGCCAAAAGTTCGGGTGTAAAACAATTTTTGTATATCAGCAGTGCTGGAATCTATAAGCCAACTGATGAGCCTCCTCATGTCGAAGGGGTATGTTATATGTTGATTATGTTCATGGTCCTAATAAGATAAAGGAAAGCAAAATTTGTTCTACTTAACTAAACTACCCATATCGCAGGACGTTGTCAAAGCTGATGCTAGTCATGTGGGAGTGGAGAAATATATCTCAGAGATTTTCAGTAGTTGGGCTATATTCCGTCCACAATACATGATTGGTTCCGGCAACAATAAAGATTGTGAGGAGTGGTTCTTTGATCGTAAGTGAATAACTTTGAGCAATATTTTTTGTGTTCCTTTTTTCCCCCAGAAAGTCTAAACACATATTCGTCAGGTTTTAAATCTGTTTGGAACCAAGATGCCCTCATTCATTCTTAGGCCACGACCCTGTTTATGGCTATTATTTGAATTTACTTAATGATTTTTAATTTTTTTTCCTTGCATTTTGAATTGTTGTATAATCTTGTACATGTAACTATGTAAGCTGTGGCTATGTGCCTATGTGTATGGTTATATTCATTGCTGCAAAGGATTTTAACTTGGAATCCAATGACATGGTGTAATGTTTGTTCAATTCTCATTTCCTATTTCGTCACTGAAAGTGGTTTAAACACAAATTATTATGATCAATTGTTCCCATAGTGTTTATGCTTCACTGCTTTTTGGCATTTTGTTGATAAGAAAATTATCAACTTTGAACAGGAATTGTTCGGGGCAGACCAGTTCCAATACCTGGCTCCGGAATGCAACTAACCAACATTGCCCATGTTAGGGATTTATCCTCCATGCTTACTCTTGCAGTCGAGAATCCAGCTGCTGCAAGTGGTAACATCTTCAACTGTGTGAGTGATCGTGCTGTGACGTTGGATGGCATGGCCAAACTATGTGCTCAGGCTGCAGGCCTCCCAGTTGAGATTGTGCATTATGATCCCAAAGCTGTTGGATTTGATGCAAAGAAAGCTTTTCCATTCCGTAACATGGTATGACGATATCTTTAAATTGACATAAAAAGGTGAAAATGAATGAAAGAAAACTGGATTAAGGACACGTCATTTCTATTATTGTTGTTATATTGCTTGGTGATTAAAGACTTCACTTACTGCACAAACTTAAAAAATAGTTGAGATAAATCTATATATATTATAAAACATTTGAATCATCCAACTATTCTAGGTTTATAAGCTATAAATGGATGGAATCCACGTAATTCCTGTATTATTTAAGCTGTATCGACATTTTATCTTCCTTTAGGCAGGAACCATTTGATTCTCAAAATAATGTGTCATTTTTTCCACTATTAACACTTTGCACTTTGTGATAACCCATATTGATCAATGTACTTCTGCAGCACTTCTATGCAGAACCAAGAGCTGCCAAGGACAATCTAGGGTGGTGTGGCACCACAAACCTTCCTGAAGACTTGAAGGAGCGGTTTGCTGAGTATGTGAAGATTGGGAGAGACAAAAAGGCCATGCAATTTGAGATCGATGATAGGATACTGGAGTCGCTGAAAGTGCCAGTAGCTGTGTAATAATCCAATGCCAAGTAATTGATGCATGTAACTTCCCTGTCAGTGGCTGTCGCCCGTTGTATAATTTGTATGTAGTACAAGTGAGACGCAGTTTTGTGTTTCATTCTCATGTATTTGCTGGATGCTGCTAAGAACCAATATATCAATTTTGATCATTCAAAGTAATACAATGAAATTCAATTACCAGTTAGTCTTATTCTTTATATTTAAGTCGTCAGTAAATTGGTTTTCAAGAGCATGATAGCTGCCCTTTTCTTGCTAGCGTGTATCGCTGAATCCACTTCGGACATGGTCCAGTGGTTGGCTTGCTAGAGTTTGGTGCTTTGTAGGCTCAAAGTCTAGGTTTCAAGTCCCCATTGGGTGTTCTTTGTGGCTAGCTTCCACTGTCCCTGCAGTGACTTACCCGACCCGGGTGGGAAAGCGCCCTTCCGAATCCTCGGGAATTAGTCGGGTTGTTGGGGGTTCTCAGATTCGTGCCTTCGCGGGGTTGTAGTGAGCTGATTACCTCATTTATCCGCACCTTAAGAACTAGAGATTAGAAAAGTTGAGATTTTATTGTTTGGCAAATGCCAGGAGTTCTGCTGATAATGTTTGTATATATACAGTAGAAGACCTTGCTTCAATTATCTATTTGAGCTAGAACATCATCTTCAGACTTCAGCTGTTAATTTTGATAATGACAGTGAAATTCGATCAAAGGGCCTCTAACTCATGCTATTTTCTCGAACACCATCCTCCTCCCCTGCTTATTTATAGTGAAGGAAAGTAATACTACGAACAATCAAACACCTAAGCATCGCGAGGGTGCAAGAAAATCAAATCCATTTTCATTTAAAACAGCAGCAATTAATCATGTACTGGGCAATGCATTTGCTGCAATCTGAAGCTTCAAAAAATGCTACAATCTTGTGAATATAGGCAGTGCGTGGCTAATATATATGTAGCATTATTCTGCATAAATTCATGCTTCAAAATCGATGTTGATTCAATTACCCGTCATACGCCGAATACTTTTTAACAGTGAGTATTGTTCCGTGTCATTTGTAATTTAAAAGTTCAAACATAATAATTCTTTTTATTTACAAAATTATCTATAATTTTTTATAAAATCTTAAAAATACTTCTACTTATAGTTTTTGATAATACTTCACTATATAATCTTATATATTCTGCTTGTTAAATTTCTGGGCTCGTGACTGAAGTTGAAGTTGTTGCTGTTGGTAGCAGTACTCTAGACAAGAAAGTAAGTGTGTTGATAAGTCCAATCAATGTAATAATTAATTGGGTTGGAATGGCAATCCAACTGAAGCTGATCGTAACTAGTTTAAGATTAATTAAGTCGAGCCAACCTGGCAAACCTAAAAGTGATCTAATAAATGTCAATAGTAACGTCATCATCTACATGTATATACACATTATAGTATATCTATATATACACGAGTATATTCAAGTTTGTTGTTTGTATTGTTTGTAAAGCATTTTCAAATCAAGTAGGACGGTAATGGAATCGTTTTTCAATTAACCATGCACACCACCAAACAAGGCCCCATCGTCCGATTAGGTGCAACAGACACCGATTTGTCCAAAAACAACTTGACAAAATGACCTTACAACTCAATCCTCTTCTCCTCTGTTGCCAATCTAATCAGCAGCGCACATACATACATATATATATATATATATATATTATAAGTGGATTTTATATTATAAATGGATTTTACCTACAAACACCACTAAATAAACTTCTTGTATCATAAATTATTATTATTATTGTGTTTCCCAATCAACGCTTAGACAAGTGAAGTGACGCACCGTCGGTGGCTTACCTTGCGGCGTTAATTACTACTGTATATCTTTCGGTTGGTGGGTCCACAAGAGGGTTATATCTCCACCGTCGATCCATTGAATTATTTTATTTAAATATTGATTAAATAAAATTTGATATGTTGATAATGATTCCAATTTGATAATCTTGTCATAACAAATTAGATATTAGATATGAATTAATGTTAATACATCCAATAGTAAGAATTCAATTAAAATATCCTATATATTGGTTATTTAAAATTAAACATATAATATATTAATTATTTAATTTTAGATTCATTTAGTTGCATAGTTATATGATAGACATCTCTTTATTATTTTTTATATTAATAAGTTTTTTTTCTATTTATAATTCATTAGCTTAACAAATTAAATATAAATTACGGTCCAAATATCTTGTTAATTGAGCAAAGTTCGGTAAGCATGAGTATTTTTTTTTTTTTTTTTAACACAATAGTAAAAAAATAAAAATAATAATAAAATCAATTGAGGTGTCAAATATTGATTAAAAAAAGATATAATGCTTGACTATGAATGGTGTTGCGTGTAGTACCACATGTGTCAATGGGCCTCACACCATTCACAAAAGGAAAGATGGACAGTGAATATTATTTTTCCTTTTTATAGTGATATTTACAATTTGATATGAAATAATCTGAAAAAAAAAAATGAAATAATCTAAAATTAAATCACATCTTTTATTTGCTGCATATTTTGAATTAAAATTTTATATATTCAGACAGAATAAAATTCATAGCACACCGAATACTAATTGTTGAACATTGGATATATTATGCTCCTTTCAACAAAAGATGTGGAATAAATGGTGGGGAATTAATTCCACACCTTAGGCACATAGTAGTAGGTGTAGTATGGTGGGGCCATTAGACACCGACACTCTTCCGTTCCAATATACAAAACTATATATATATATAGTGGGTGTTACGGAGAGTGATGTATGTAGGGGGAAGAAGAGGAGTCCATGTGATGTGATATAAATAAAATTTGGAAGCCACTAAAGTAAAGTAAATTATTTTTAGTAACTAAATAGGGGGAGAGAGACTTTTGTTGTGTAAGTGACCTAAAAGACAACCAATTTGGAGGGAGAAAAGGGGAGAGAGAGAGAGAGAGAGACTGTGTTTATTGTGGCATAAATAAAGCAATTTCTGAGTGGCAAAAAGTGTTGATAACATAGAGAGATATGGTTGTGACTCTCAGAGGAGGGAGGGAGAGAGAGAGAATGGAACTGCGATTCTGATATAATCTCTCTCTGTCTCCACCGTATCATCTTCGTGCCTCGTGCTCATGTAGAAGAAACAAGTACCGACTCAGACAATACAGATCTCTCACCAACCTATGTAAGCCCCATTCTATTATCTCTCTCTGTGTTCTTATTGTGATGCATTGTGTTGCATCAAATCTCACTTGCATTTCTTGATGTTCGATCATTTGGAGTTGATCTTTGTACCCAACGAGTTAGGATCTGCTAAATTTTGCTTTATTTCTTCAACATGTTATTTTAGGGATTTGGGTCTGTCTGATTCGTTCTTGACTATCAAATCGAAGGGGATTGAACCAAACTGATACTAATTTATATGAGATAATTTCTGTGTATTTCATGTGAATTTCGGGGTTTGGTGCTTACTTTGAGGGGTCTTTAGATTTTACTGATTTTCTGTATCTTTCTTGTTTATTTACTGAATTATGTGTTAATTGAAGTATTGGATCTAAAACTTTACAGTGATGTTTTGTTTTTGCTTAGTCTTGGAACGTGATTTGCAGAATTATGTACTACTAATAGTTAGAGATTTTGAGCTCGATTGATAGTTAAGATGAAACCCATGAAAGCCGTGAGTTTTACATTAAAACCATTCCATTACAGAGAGAAAAGGCCAAAGAATAATATATTATTATCTGGGAAGAGAAATTTATAATCTTCTCTTCTCTACCTGGGATGCGTTTATGAAAAAGAAGGAAAGGAAGTGTTTTGTTATCTTCTTCTTCTATTCTCTTTGCTTCTCTTGATCATAATGGAAGTGCTAGAATCACAGAAAATCTTTACATTTAAATTTTGTTAAAGTTATGTTTTCCTGTTGAGGAATATTGGTTATCCCACATTGATATACTTGGTATAGGTAACAACACCACCACAGTTACTTGAATCCTATATTTCCATTCCTTTCTACCCACATTAGCTTTGGGACTTTTGGTCATCCTCTTCTCCTAGTATTATCCTCGATGTGGACTATTATGTCACTTTTCCTAAAGGTCTTCTTTGCACATGTCCAAACCATCTTAATCGATTTTCATTCATTTTTCCTCCAATTGGTGCTACTCCAACCATCTCCAGAATATGATAATTTATAATTCTATCCGTTCCATCCATGCATTCGCATTTCTGCCATACTCACTTTATGCAAAATGTTGTTTCCTAGCCGCCCAACATTAGGTACCATAAAGTATGGCAGGTGTAATAGCTGTTCCATAGAACTCCCCTGTGCCTATCACACAATATAGTAGCAACATTTAGATGTTGCTAATTAAGTAGGAGAAAATGTCAGACACATGGTGAATGATGAAAACACGATGGCCATTGCACCGGTATGTTAACATGAAATAATTTATTATCAGCTCACTCTTCAATGAAGATGAGTGAATGCAGCAACTATGAAGGAGCAAAAGAATGTAGAATGAGTGATAACTTATGGTTTAACAAGAATGTGGCTGTAGATAGAGCTCTGTGGGAAAAGTATTTGTGTAGCTAATTGGGTATTTGGGATTTATATTTCTTAGGTTGAGTCAGTTAGTGATTACTAATGCTCTCTTCGCTTACTCGCATCATGGACTGCTTTGGATGGGCTGGTGAGAATGCTTTTTGTCTTGTAGCGTGTCTTGCTTCATGTATTTAATTATTATGTTTTTCTCAGTTATTCTAAACCTTGCATTTCATTTTATTGGGTTATTTAGTAGTCCATATGATGATACTGAGCGAGTTTGGCTGTACATATCACTGGCCCGCATTAGGAGCCTCTTGTCATCCTGTGGCCCTATCAAACAATACTGCATAATTTATATATTCATTCTATCTACCCATTTTAATGGCAGCTGTATATTTTATGATCCCTTGAGATTGTTCTTCATGCAAATTTTACCTTTGATATCTTTTTTTGTGTTGTCTAAACATTAAATGGGGATTCTTCGAATATGATAGCAATTTAAGAAACTTGCTGGGGTTTTATCATTTTATTGCTTCTGTTGATCTTCATTAACTTTCCAGACTTCCCCATTTGGTCAGGATGGATGGTTCAAACTTAAGAGTAAGTTTGACATTTTGAGCTACAACAAATTAAAGAAGAAAAAAAAAAAAAAAGCGCACAGATAACAAGGACAACACAGAATGGGCGATTCATGGTCAGTGACATCAGGATGTGAATTTTTTTTCAGTACCTAGAAAATTCCATTTTCAAATTAAATCACTTAAATACTTTCTATCGCTGAGAAGCTGGCAGCGACAGTGAAAAATGGATAGACGACAAATATTGGAAGAATCATTCTAGACCAGACTTTTAAAGTTTCCTTAAGTTTGTCTTGAGAATATCAAAACGTGGATGAGATGGAAAGCTAATAAACTAACACCATGTGTGTCAATGTTCTTTCAAAATTAAGAACCAGTATCAAGATTTTTGAACTGAGATTATATTTATATGGCATGTTGCAGATTTGTCTGGGTGGTTAAACTGGGAATTGGTTCTTTTTCTTACCTGGTGTGGAATAATTTTTTTTTAGCTCCATGTAAATTGTCTGGTGCAATTAGTTTTTTTTAACAATTTCAGATTTTTTGTCAAGTTTTTGTGTTTTCACTTGTTTATTCTGTGAAATATATCGACGCATTTATTTCAGTTCCCTAGTGGAATGAGTGTGCATTCTATACATTGACCAGCTCATCTATGTTACTCTGTTGCACCACAGCTTGAATATGGGAACTTTGGCACTTGAATGTGAGACAGTAAGCTCAGATATTTATCTAGCTTTGGGGCTTAAAGAATTGTGCAAGGAAAATCCAGGAATACCCCGAGTTCTGTCACTTATTTCTACCCTTTTTGAGAGATCTGTTCAAAAGAATGAAATGTTATTGGAGACGAGACAAATCAAAGATGTTCTTACAATATTTCATGGTTCAAGAGCACCTTCTCTGGGCATTCGACAATATATTGATCGCATCTTCAAATACTCGTGCTGCAGCCCTTCTTGCTTTGTTGTTGCTCGGATTTATGTGGATAGATACATTCAACGCGCAAATATTCACCTAACTTCCCTCAATGTTCACCGGCTTCTAATAACAAGTGTAATGGTAGCGGCAAAATTTATTGATGATGCGTGAGTACTAATTCCCGAATCGAGATGTACTTTGTTTTGATTATATATTGCAAAAAGTGTTTTACAATTGGAAGTATGTATATTGGTTTTAGTGATATCTAAGGCTCTTACTTGTTCACCTGCATCATTTTTCATGTGCATGAAACCAAAATCATTTGTTAAAGGAGAATTGGGTTCCATCATATAATAATTATCGCCATATGGCTCCATCATACAATGAGTGTTATTCTTTGCACCCTTTATTTGTTTCTTATTTAATGCAGGCTTCTTATATAATCTACATCTTTTTCAGGTTCTTTAATAATGCATACTATGCAAAAGTGGGAGGAGTAAGCACATCAGAGCTGAACAGATTGGAGATGAAGTTCTTGTTTGGTCTAGATTTCCAACTTTATGTAAGCGTTCCAGCGTTTGGGAAGTACTGCTCACAGCTGGAGAAGGAAGCCGGTGGAGGCCTCGAGATTGAATGGCCAATCCTGGCTTGCGGAATCAAAGAGAGCTGGTCAGCCAAAGATGATTCAACCTGCACTTCAACAATTGCTAGATAAAAATTAGGAAGAAATTTAAATGTAACATTACAAATTCTCAATCCACGACACGTGTCAAGTTAGAAAATGGTTGTTGAATTGGTAAGTTAGAGTTTCGCTGGGATGATTATTAGAGAAACCAGAATGTTTTTTGTGTCTTATAATAGTGTATAGGTTAGGTTGGTCTGAATTTATCTGCTTCCTTTCTGATTGATTGTACGTCTTCAAAGTTCTTCAAAATCGTCTGTTGATTTTTACCCCCATGAAGTTTGGGTCATCCTTAGACAAAGTGCCTGTATACAAAAGGTGTGTATGCTTAAGAAAAGAAGTTCTGTTCACTGTTTCCTATTGCTGCTACCACTGACCTCATGAATGGAGGAGACATTTAGGCTAGCATTATCTATTCAGGTGTGTGATGATTCAGGATTGCTTTTAGGAAAAATTATCTGCCTTGGCCATTATGTATCAGGGTGAAGAATATCACATGAGCTCATGCGTTTTGGTGGTAGAAGAGCCAAAGAGGGAATGGAAGGCCTGTCAGAAGAAAATTACTCTCCATAACCACTAATTTTTTAGAGAATTACTGTCAGAAGGAATTTTTTAGAGAATTACTTTTCCATAACAATCTAATTTTCCTATAAAAGTTTTTTACAGACGCACTGAAAAATTTTAATTTCTCGAGAAAGTTTCATGAAGCTACAATAATGCTCTTCTTTTTATGGTGAATTCTATGATATTCAAACCATAAAATGGAAAATTTTAATAATTTCTTTTTTTTAAAAAAATTCATACTATGCACTCCATTTTAAAACCTCTTTTTTATCGACTATACAATGACAGAGACACTGATATGTGTATAAATTACTAGTAATTATTTGATAGAACCGTGATGATTTAAAAGAAGGCATTTGTTGGCTTCAATTAAAGAATTTAATCATAGTTTGAAGTGTGTACGGCACAATAAAGTCCAGTATATTTATTCTGGGTCAAAAAAGTTGTGCTACAGGCCCAGAAAAGTAAACAGTGGTAGACCAATTTTAGAAAGAGTCACAGCATCTGAAGAAAGTGGACCGGCCCAATAGGATTCGCTAACACAATCAATACAAAAAAAGCCCTTCCCACATAACATTATTACTAATTTACATTCGTCCTATCGGGTGGTAAATGGTTTAGATAAGAATGTTCGATGTGGTTTCCTAGAAACGTCATCTCTGAGCCTCAGCGGATTTGATGCCATTTTGGTCTGAGCAACGTCAGATAATAATACATTATACATACAATACAATACTAATACTAATAGAATAGAATAAAATATGAATAGGGACTGTCCTGTCCTATCCTATCCTGTCCTCTCTCTCACTACTGGTACTGGGGTCCGGGGACTCTCTTTTTCTCTCATCAATCCAGCACCATAAATGACAAAATAAGTCAATCACATCTACCATAACCAGGTGTTTGTCATGGCCATTGTTACAGAAGACAAGACTCCATCAGTATATATATATATATATATTAACCCACCACAGCCGATATTATTTCGAGAGGTCCACCCCTAGCTAGTAGTCACTGGACACGTGACACGCACTAAAACATGCAATGTACCCAGCTGTATTTTTTTACTTGTATATATGTGTGTATATATATATTTAGGCATCGATAATAGATTTTTACTATTTGGGTCAAATTCGGCTAAGTCAATACACACATTTTGGGAAGCCTACTGATACTTAAATTTACCTTCCGAGTTGGAAGGGCGTGTGACACATGAGCCTTTTTTTTTAAAATTAATACATTTTGAATAAATAATAATAATAAAGAAAAATTACATATAAATGGAGTCAAAGTTTCATATTTACTTAGAAACTGAGTCAAAGTTCCATATTTTTCTAAAATGAATTGCTGAGGTGGCACATGATTTTTTACTGTTTAGAAAATTGTGGTGCCTAAAATGCCCTTCCCTAACAAAAAAGTAGTACATTCAGTGCAAAAAAGTAGTACCTTCACTTCAAAAAAGTAGTACCTTCGCGGGTGTTTAAAAAATACGATATCTGGACGCCAAAAAGTAGTACCTTCAGTTCAAAAAAGTAGTACCTTCGAAGAAAAAGTAGTACCTTCACGGAAGGGTATTTTAGGCACCACAATTTCTAAATAGTAAAAAACTATGTGCCACCTCAGCAATCCATTTTAGAGAAATATGAAATTTTGACTCAGCCTCTAAATAAATATGAAACTTTGACTCCATTTATATGTAATTTTCCCTAATGATAATAATAATAGTGCACATGTTATACCATCACAATCTATAAAATAGTGATAAAACAAATATTGGTAATTGGTGTTCCATCTCATTAAAATTTCTAATTTATATAAAAAAAAAATGAACATATATAAAAAATTAATATAAAAGTTTGCTTGAACCGAACCTCCGCATGTGTGCCACGTGTAACCGATGTAGTTACCTCGAGTAGCATGTCCAAGGTAAACTTTCATACCTCCTCTTCAGAATTTCACGTTAGGTGTGAATTACTACTACTACATGTTTAATCTCAATCTTACATATGAAGGGACAAAAATTTATGTTGCTATCACATTTACATTTTCACCTTATATACTTTACTATTTCATGGAAATTCTTCTTCTTTTTTTTTTTTCTTTTTTTTTTTTTTTTTAACTTTTTGCTTTGAACTGGATCAGTACCAAGTACATAATTGTGCAAAATATAAATTTTTTAATTAACTAATTATCTTTTTATACATATATATATATGTGTGTGTGTGTGTGTGTGTGTGTGTGACTATGTCTCTGTATATATTTGTCCTTTTGTGATGTATATATATGTCTTTGTTTCTTCTATTGTTGGATTAAGGCTGCTTTATACATCCACTTCTTTTTACCTTGCTTGCTGTTCCATCGCCAAAAGAATAAAAATCATTAATCCAAATTCAGAATCAGTTTGAACTTCCAACATAAGAAAATTGTGATTAACACGCACCACTGACATGAGCGGACCAAATTACTTCACGAGGAGAGAAAAATGGTGAAAAAAACACTCGTACGTTGTTTAGGTAAATGAGAGTCATTAACCCTCAACTAATTGAAGGAAACATAAGTTAATACTATTCATCTTTCAACGGTTAATGAAATTTTTGTTTGTTATTATAATATATTATAGGAAGAGATTCCAGACATATAAAGACCAATGAATCAAAAACACTGTATTTCACAGTGTACTAAAATGTACCTACCATGCAATGAAGTGGATTTTAGTCCAAATTTGCTTGTTTATGCATCAATAAATTTATCATTTGGTGACAAGTCCTTTCTTGCCTAATTATTCTTCTACCATTGAAGTGTCACAACATTTCCTATTGTTTAATATTGACATTTGATTAGATGGGCAGGGACATTAATATGCCGAAATAACCATATATTTTAAAAGTTTTAAGTTATTAAAAATTGTGTAAACCGTGTAATTTTAATATTTAAATTCTTTAACAATATGCTATCAGTATTTGACATATTATTTCTTAAAATATTTGAATTGTAAGCATAAATATTTAGGTTGATCTACAGAACTATTAGAAGAAATGTTTGAAAGAAAAATGATGGTTATTAGGTCTGAAATGGTGAAACTTTAAATAATATTATTAATCAAATTTGACGGGAATTATCTAGTAATATATATATGTATATATAAATTATTAGGTTAAACAAGAGAAATGTATGCAGGTGTTTCAAGAAACCCAACGGGACAAGATTTGAGAGGGGGAGCACCTCACGTGCTTCACCTGATCTGGGGGATACGCGGAGCCAAGGTAGGTGTTATGTGTTGTTGTGCGAATTGGTGTATTACTACCATACTCGAGTCAAATTAGTCGGATCGTGTGTTTTTTTTGGTATGCGTGTGGGCTATTTATGCCATTTTAATTTACGCGACCCAAAAGGTGTCTATCCTTGACTCATCAGGTCAAATGTTGACTTCTTGTTGCTCATGGTCATCTAAGAATTGGGCAACCACTTTGTAAAAAAAATTCCCCTTCATGATTCCTTAATATCACTATTAAATTAGGGTAAATTATATTCACATTCCTTGATGTTTGGATCAACGTTACTTAACATAGGGTCAACACACTACTTTACACTCATACCTGCTGAAGTTTTAAAAGTTATATTTACCCTGAACTTATTAATTGACAAAAATAACTCTAACCTGACCATGTAAACCCTCACACCCACCACCGCCACACCCATCGCCACACTCTGCCGCAACCACAGACCGCCACACCCCCACCGCCACCGCCACCGCCACAACCACAGACCCACACCCATAATGCCACACATACATTCTACCTCAACCACAGACCCACCGCCAAACAATTCACACCCACCGCCCCACACATGCACCGCCACAACCACCGCATCAAACACAACACACTCATCGTCACCACCACATAACACTTCAGATCAGGATGCTCCTCGATCCAACCTTAAATCAAACGCGTAAAGCGCACGTGAAGGGCAGTGGTGGTCTGGTGGCGGCGGCGACGGTGAGTGATTCACTAGCTGACGTCCCCATGGAAAGCCGTCTCAAGGAATTGCCAATTCGCTCCTCGATTTGAAGCGTCAACGCATTGGGGATGTCTCGATCGCCACCGTTGTCGAAAAGTATGTGTGTGGGTGGGTGGTTGTGTACGGTCTCGTCATTTTCGCAGAGGAATTTTGCCTCTAATTGGACAGAGAGGGTATGGTGGTGGTGAGAAAGACAGAGAGGGTATGGTGGTGGGTGGTGTTAGGGAAGGGAGAGATAAAGAGGGTATGGTGTGGTGGGTTAAAGAGAAGGTTATTTTGGTCTTTTAAAATTTAGTTTATAAGGTTATTTTGGTCCTTCAAAATTTAGTTTATAAGGTTATATTTGTAATTTATAATTTTTTTGTATTTGTTGACTAAGTCAAAAGTTAAAATGATCATTTTTAAATAGAGGGATGTGTACGATGACTTTTGAAATCTTATGGGGGTCAATATTGAGGGAGTGTTTGACGATCCGCTAAATCGCGTTGACCCAAATCTCAAGAGGTGTGAGTACAATTTATCCATTAAATTAAAAATAGCTAAGTCAGCTTTGTGTTCTAAGTTGATATTCATTTTCACACTTAAATCATTCAAAATTACCACCATATCTCCCAAAAAAAAAAAAAAAAAATCCATTCAAATATAGATATACAGGTAAGGTTAAAGTTTCACATGGTATGATTTTTTTTTCTTTTTTTTAAAAAAAAAGAGAGCAAAAATGGTTGATCATTTCTGACTACATCTATAATTTGGCCATTCCTCTCAAAATATAAATAT